AAACCCTGTCTCAAAAAAAAAAATCTCCCTTCCAAAAAAAGCCCAGGACCAGATGGTTTCAATGCAGAATTCTACCAGAACTTCCAAGAAGAGTTAATACCTATACTCCTTAATGTACTTCACAATATAGAAACAGGAGAGTCATTGCCAAATTCCTTTTATGAAGCTACAGTTACCCTGATACCAAAACCACACAAAGACTCAACCAAGAAAGAGAACTACAGGCCTATCTCACTCATGAACATCGATGCAAAAATCCTCAATAAAATACTGGCAAACCGAATCCAAGAACACATTAGAAAAATTATCCATTATGATCAAGTAGGCTTCATCCCAGAGATGCAGGGCTGGTTCAACATACGCAAATCTATCAATGTATCCACCATATAAATAAACTGAAAGAAAAAAAACGTATGATCATTTCATTAGATGCTAAAAAAGCATTCAACAAAATTCAACACCCCTTTATGACAAAGGTCTTGGAGAGATTAGGGATCCAAGGGTCGTACCTAAATATAATAAAAGCTATTTACAGCAAGCCGACAGCTAACATTAAATTAAATGGAGAAAAACTCAAAGCCATCCCACTAAAATCAAGAACATGACAAGGATGTCACCTCTCTCCATACCTCTTCAATATAGTGCTTGAAGTTCTAGCAATAGCAATAAGACAACATAAAGGGATCAAAGGGATTCGTATTGGAAAGGAAGAAGTTAAGCTTTCATTATTTGCAGATGATATGATAGTGTACATGAGCGACCCCAAAAACTCTGCCAAAGAACTCCTACAGCTGATAAACACCTTTGGTAAAGTGGCAGGATACAAGATCAACTCCAAAAACTCAGTCGCCTTCCTATACACTAAGGATAAGGAAACAGAGAGGGAAATCAGAGAAGCATCACCTTTCATGATAGCCACAAGTACCATAAAATATCTTGGGGTAACTCTGACCAAGGAAGTGAAAGATCTATATGACAAGAACTTTAAGTCTTTGAAAAAAGAAATTGAAGAGGTCACCAGAAAATGGAAGGATCTCCCCTGCTCTTGGATTGGGAGGATCAACATAGTAAAAATGGCAATTCTACCAAAAGCAATCTATAGATTCAATGCAATCCCCATCAAAATCCCATCAAAATTCTTCACAGATCTGGAGAAGACAATAATCAACTTTATATGGATAAACAAAAAACCCAGGATAGCCAAAACAATCTTATACAATAAAGGATCGTCTGGGGGCATTACCATCCCTGACTTCAAACTCTATTACAGAGCTACAGTATTGAAAACAGCTTGGTATTGGCATAAAAACAGAGAAGTCGACCAATGGAATCGAATAGAAGACCCTGACATTAACCCACAAAACTCTGAACACCTGATTTTCAATAAAGGAGCTAAAAGTATACAATGGAAAAAAGAGAGCATCTTCAACAAATTGTGCTGGCAAAACTGGATGTCAACCTGTAGAAGAATGAAAATAGACCCATATCTATCACCATGCACAAAACTCAAGTCCAAATGGATTAAAGACCTCAATATCAGTCCGAACACACTGAACCTGATAGAAGAGAAAGTGGGAAGTACCCTACAACATGTGGGCACAGGAGATCACTTTCTACATACAACCCCAGCAGCACAAACATTAAGGGCCTCATTGAATAAATGGGACCTCCTGAGACTGAGAAGCTTCTGTAAAACAAAGGACACTGTCACTAAGACAGAAAGGCAACCCACTGACTGGGAGAAGATCTTTACCAACCACTCAACTGACAAAGGTCTGATCTCCAAAATATATAAAGAACTCAAGAAACTAGACCTTAAAAGGCTAATCAACCCAATTATAAAATGGTGCACTGAGCTGAACAGAGAATTCTCAACAGAAGAACTTCAAATGGCCAAAAGACACTTAAGGTCATGCTCAACTTCTTTAGCAATCAGGGAAATGCAAATCAAGACAACTTTAAGATACCATCTTACACCTGTCAGAATGGCTAAAATAAAAAACACCAACGATAGCCTTTGCTGGAGAGGTTGTGGAGAAAGGGGTACACTCATCCATTGCTGGTGGGAATGCAAACTTGTGCAACCACTTTGGAAAGCAATGTGGCGGTTTCTCAGGAAATTCGGGATCAACCTACCCCTGGACCCAGCAATACCACTCTTGGGAATATACCCAAGAGAGGCCTTATCATACAACAAAAGTATATGCTCTACTTTGTTCATAGCAGCATTGTTTGTAATAGCCAGAACCTGGAAACAACCTAGATGCCCTTCAATGGAAGAATGGATGAAGAAAGTATGGAATATATACATATTAGAGTATTACTCAGCAGTAAAAAAAACAAGGACTTCTTGAATTTTGCATACAAATGGATGGAAATAGAAAACACTATCCTGAGTGAGGTAAGCCAGACCCAAAAAGAGGAACATGGGATGTACTCACTCATATTTGGTTTTTAGCCATAAATAAAGGACACTGAGCTTATAATTCATGTTCCTAGAGAAGCTAAATAAGAAGGTGAATCCAAAGACAAACATATAGGCATCCTCCTGGATATTAACCTTCATCAGGCAGTGAAGGGAGACAGAGACAGAGACCCATATTGGAGCACCGAACTGAAATCTCAAGATCCAAATCAGGAGCAGAAGGAGAGAGAGCACGAGTAAGGAACTCAGGACCACGAGGGGTGCACCCACATAATGAGAACATGGGGATGTTCTATCGGGAACTCACCAAGGCCGCTGGCCTGGGTATGAAAAAGCCTGGGATAAAACCAGACTCGCTGAACATAGCAGACAATGAGGACTACTGAGAACCCAAGATCAATGGCAATGGGTTTTTGATCCTACTGCACGTACTGGCTTTGTGGGAGCCTAGGCAGTTTGGATGCTCACCTTACTAGACCTGGACGGAGGTGGGTGGTCCTTGGACTTCCTACAGGTCAGGGAACCCAGATTGCTCTTTGGGCTGACAAGGGAGGGGGAATTGGTTGGGGGAGGGGGGAGGGAAATGGGAAGTGGTGGTGTGGAAGAGACATAAATCTTTAATAAATAAATAAATTTTAAAAAAGAGGATTGATCAAAATAAAGGGCATACAGAAATATAATATTTTATAACAACACATTATTTTTGAGAAAGAGGGTTGTAGAAGGCTACATTATGAACCTGGAAGAAGATGTTTTGAGGATCCATGGGCTGTTAAACAAAATAACCTACCAGACATGATTTATCTCTTTATGAGTTGTTGGTCAAGGATTCCCCAAGGCTCCCAAAATGATACAAATTCTTTTTATTCCTTCTGTTTTTTCATCATAATTATGTGTTCAGACCATTCTGCTGAAGGCACCCCATACCTTGAGTGTACAAATTACACAGAACCAGCTAGTACCAAGGTGGAATCTTCCTCCCTGCTAAGGCTAGCTTCCACAATCCCAGAAATTGCTATGTATGCTCCCGTGGGGCAAACATCTATGATCTTACACAGCTATTAATCCTACAATCCACCAACCTTCCAGGAAGAAAGTATACGTTTGTGAAATAATGCCAGTATAGTTATGGGGGAAATAACTGCTTTCTGATTGAATTTGAGGCCCGCTCCTGATAAAGCAATACTTGACTAGTGCTGGAAATCAGATCAAAAACACAAGATTGGGAAGATCATATGCCCTATGGTGAAACTGAATTCAGTTGTTGAAGTAAATTGATAGCACTGAGTTGCTCTATAAATAGTTATGTTTATACTTATGTATGGATACTACAATCAGCCTTAATCAGAGAAGCTTCTCTCTGAAGCAAATAGTTTTTAAAAAGAGAATAATGGCATCAGAAGCTACTGGAAAGAGGTAAAGGTTGATAGTTTACCTCTAAGGAAATCATTTGTATCTTTTTTCTAAGGTCCAGGTAACATTGAAAAAGGAAGACGAGCAAGAATGTAAGAGCAAGAAAAATAAAGAGAAGAGCTTCAAAATGACATCTTCTCAACAAGACACGGTCCTTCCAGTCACAGACTCAGAGCAGGTGGGGATGTACACACATATTCTACACAATATTCCAATCAACATCCAGGCATGGATGAAGAATAGAGTCTGAAAGAATTACCGCTCCCAGCTGAATAATTGACTTACAACTGATTCAAGGAGAGGAGATATCATTGCCTTTGATGGGGTTCCCACAAGTAAATGAACCAGGTGCTCAAACCACCAAATGGGCATACAAGATAAACGTTTCAAAACAAAAGTGAAAATCATAATCCCAAAAAGGAACTGGTAGAAAGGGAGATCAATAGAGATGGAGGAACAGTTGAGAAGGTTGGGGAGACTAAGCAGGCCGCATTGTATGCATAACTAAAAAGATCAAAGAACAAAAATTAATCAGTATTGAATGCCTGGGACAGAGCATGGGTACTTTTCCAATCACAGCAATAGCCAGCTCTGGGGTCAGATGACTTTTACTTTATGACAGTTGATAAAACTCCACTCTCCATGTTATTTGAGGGGTGGAAGTGGGTCTAACATCTCATGTATCTTTCCCTAAATTGATTGATAAATTATAGTTAATTGTGTTCCTCATAGTCCCTCATTTTTAGACCATCTGTTTTCTACTGAGACAGAAATATACAAGGGAATGGAAACTTTCCATTGGGGGAACACTGTGGCTGAGATAAGATACTGAGAAAACTGTGCTTTTAGAGACAGTGCCTGTATCTATATGCTTGCCATGTTGAGGAAAGTGGCAGAATGCTCACAATAGGAACATGTGTGAGTAGTTGGGGTGAGAGGAGAATGGGAGAAAGTACAAGGAGAGGGCACTGCCTTGGTTCACTGACTTCAAATCTCCCACACTCCCAGTCTGCCAACCCACGAAGCTGGCATGGAGAATTTCAAGACTCCTGTTTCTGCAGAAATGCATGAGGCTCCTTGATTTATCCACCTCAGTGGTCACAGACTAAGAAAAAGAGATAATAGCTTTAGGGAGAATGTCTCAAAACAAAAATCATCTTACCTTGCCTCCATTCTGCCTACAGGAGATGGTGAACTGATCTGTGGCAAATAGAAGCATCCCCCAGTTCCGCCATCAGTATGAAACTCATCTGTAGTTCAGAAACTGCAAAGAGACTGGTGTTTGAGGAAGGACAGTCAAGAGGGGAAGAAAGAGCTGTGGTTTCTGATATCTGTATCTGCGTAGATGAGTATCACTCCTTTGTGTCGTACTCTTCACAAGACTGTTCTCATATCTAGCCTGGCACCTATCTCTTATCCTTTGATCATACCAATCCCTATGGTTCCTCTTCCCTATTAATGCTTCTTGCAGCCAGAAGGTTGGTAACACCAAGCAATGTGAGTCAGTGCTGTAGCATTATCTGTTTATCAGAGCTATTTTATTTTTGCAAACACAGACCATGACTAAGCAACAAACATAAAAATAGTAACCAAATTAGGTGAGTTTGCAGAATAGTGACTTTTAGATAGGAGACTCAGTTTTGAAATGAAAATAGTTGCTTCTGTCAAATGTTCAGCCTAGGGAAGGATTCAGGGAATGGGTAGTCTGCTTGCTCCTGGGACAACCTCCTTACTGCTAGGATGCCAAAGAAGGAGGTCAAGTCAGCACTCAGCAGTGGGACCATGAAGAAAAAACTCAAGATGTTGTCTGCAAGAGTGATAGGTAAGCCTGCTTCTGCATAGGTGGAAATGAAGGAAACCAAAAAGACAGCAGAAAATAATAAATCTTCAATAAAAATCAAGCAGCTAGAGTAGGAAGAGAGGAAAAAGGAAAACAGATTAAAACATAAAGTCTTTTCATGCATTATCTTCCTGGAACCTTAAAGGTCCTGACCGGAAGAGGTAGGCAAAGCCTAGAGAGAACCAACAATAAAATAATCAACCACAGATCTGTTATGAGATTACTTGACAGATGTAATTCATTGCCAACTGTTGCAAGTCAGCAGCCTCATCAGGCTTTTAAAGGCTACTAAGCCATAGACATAGAATCTAGATCAGGGCAAATGCTAGCTGACCAATGTTTTGGATAGAATTAGTGATCCTAGATGAATTACAAGACAGACAGGCAAGGCTTACGGGTAATGGCACTGAGCATGCTCAGACCTGTAGGGTAGGGAGAGGGTGACATGATGGTAATGAGTCTAGAGATGAAGACAGTATAATATACATGGTAATGGTGAGTTTATATCATGACACCAGAGGATGCCCAGAACTGCTTGGCATTGTTACACAACCTTGCCTATACAGAAGCTCAGGAGCCATGGACAGTCCATTTCCTGCCAGCCACATTCAGATTCAGAAAGCCCATATCCAGAGTCTCCTTATCTTGGACTCTCAATATTTTGACAAAAGTCCTCTAGTGACATTGGATTATTTGTGTTCCCAACACTTTAACCCATGTCTAAGCCATATTATGACCTGAAAGAAGAAAAGTAGTCTGAGGAGGCTGTATGAGGCAGTGGTAGGACTCTGGGCTCATTAATGCTTCTATCCTGGAACAGGGGTAGGAAACAGGAACCTTCAACCCATGCTGCATGGCCACTTCCAGTAACTGGGAAGGTATATCTCAGAGACAGAAAGATACCATGATGGAGATTCATGAAGTTAGTATCACCTCTTGCTGCTAAGACAGATGTGAGGATGGCCATACCTTCTAACTACAAAGTGGCAATGGGGGCAAGAAGACTTTCATATATATTGCGTATTGAATGAGTCTATTTCTGTGTGAATGTTATAGTGAATAATCATAAAATATAAGATTAACAAATGAATAATGGAAGAAAAGAAGGTGATAAAAAGCAGAAAGAAAATGGAAGGGAAGAAGTAATAGAAAACAGTGCAGTTGAAAATTTTTAGTCAATATCACAAATATTTTTGCTAATAAATTTGGTTCTTTGACAAGTTCATACATATTCATAACCCATCTGGTTATTCCCCTCTCCTGCCCTCTCTTCTTTACCTACAGCCCTTGCCATATTCATAGCTTTGTGTGTGTGTGTGTGTGTGTGTGTGTGTGTGTGTGTGTGTGTGTGTGTGCCTGTGTGTGTGCCTGTGTGTGTGTTAGAGTTAAATTAGGGCTGTCTGTGTAACCGTGGTTTGGGAAGTGTCCATCACTGCCCAAAGGAATGCAATGCTTTCCCTTCTTGATACAGAATCTATAAACTACCAATAATTCATCAGCAAGTATCTGGGCCCTCTGAGTCTCTTCTTTATCCATAGATGACTGTACCATGGGTCCAACTCGTGTACACCCAATGCTAGAAGACAAAATAGTTGTGAGTTAATTATTGCCTCAACCATGTCGTGCTTAGAAGGCATCTTACAACTCTTCTCTATCTTTTGCTCTTACATTAGTTCAGCCCCTTATTTGGCAACATTTCCTGAGGCTTAAAGGCAATGGTATAAATGCCTTGTTTAGGGCTGAGCCCCCTGCACCATCCTTTATCCTGAAAACCTTGTGCTGCCAGGATCTGTATTCACTGCAGAGAGAGATTTCTCAGATTAAGACTGGAAGTAGACTTTGACTGAGTTGATAAACATCAATATTTGAAGGTGCTTTGGTAATGACAAAGGTGATAAGAAACAGTATAAAGTTCCCACTTAGAGCTTCAGACCTTATAAATCATGGTATGTATGTGTTTGTTCTTGAGGAGCAGGCCTCAAATCTAACAAAAGAGCAATTGTTTACTCTCATAATGGTTATACCCCTATTGTGCTAACAGGCACAACTTGCCTGGCAGTTTGGGATTCTTATTCATAAAGTTCATAGCTGGGTAAGAAATCATTCTTTATAATTCTATCAGTGGAAAGTTCTACTTAGTGAAGAGTTCCATGTGCTTGCCAATATGACTAATATTGTTCATGAGCATGTCTCCCAACAGGGAGGTGCAGTAGATGGTTGCTACTGAGAATCTAAGGTAGTATTTTATGAATGTGTTCAATGATGAACCGTATTTATAGTAGTGTCGAGTAGTCTAAGCAAATGTGGGGCCAACAATGCGGCTGATCAAGGAAGGTAAAACAAGGCAATGTTTGTTCAGTTATTAAGTAATTTTCTCTGTGTCATTATTATAAATTGACCTATTACTCTCCCCCAGGTAACAGAGTGGGCTTTTGCTCTCAGTTTAAACACTGAAGAAGAGACTTCTTTAAATGGACTTTGTGTGCTGAGCAAGATTGTGGGTGATGAGATAGGTGCCCATGTGAAGTCTAGTCTGGGAAAGAGTAATGAATCACTTAAGTGTGTATATTAGAAGCTGACTGAGTTCTTTCAGGGACTTTGAGACAACTGCTGATTATCTTCTCATTTTACTGGTAAGAAAAAAGAAGCACAGAGGAGTTGAAAACAAGGATATAAATTTGTATCCAAAGGATTGTATTGTAAAGGCCAATTACACATGGAGGGAGAAACACTGACAAGACAGGACCAAATTAAATCTAAAAAGGACTACCACACATGATAGATTTCAACAAATTTCTGGGAGCATGTGGAAAGCTAGTGTAATAGAAACTTCCAGGAATCTACAGGGGTGACAGTGGCCCTAGTGAGGATTCCTAGTAATGGAAGAAACAGAACCTGTACCAGGCTTCTTCCGCAACCATGCAAGTCTTCCAGTGGTGGGACTGAGATATCAACCCAGCCACAAAACCTTCAACCTACAATCTATATACTCTTGCAAGATATTCTAGAGCAATGAAGGTGCAGAACTTATGGAGTGGACCACCAGTGAGTGATCTAATTGGAGACCCATGCCTTGAGAAGGAGCCCATACCTAACTATGCCTGGATGGCCAGGAATTGGAGGCTGGATAGCCCAGAGACCTAGGATGGAGGGAAGAAAAATCAATAAAATCATTCCTAATGATATTCTACTATTCTCCTATATTAATGCCTAGCCCAGTTGTCCTCAGAGAGACCTCTGCTTGTCATTGATGGAAGAAGATTCAGAGACCCAGAGCCAAACATTATGTGGAAAGAAAGTTGAAATTGGAGACATCCATCAGGCCCCTCCACTTGGAATTCTATGAACCCCATGGAAGAGGAGAGGGAAGAGTTGTAAGAGCCAGAGGGGTCAAGAACACCTGGAGAAGATGACCCACAGAATTGATGAAGCTGGTTTTATAGGAACTCACAGAGACTGGAGAGGCAATCACAGCCTGCTTGAGTGTGAGCAAGGTCTTCTGGATATATGCTATGGTGCTCTTATGGCCTTCTGCTCATGGGACGGACCTGTTTCTTCCCACTGGGTTGCCTTTCTCAGCTTTAATGTGAGGGTTTGTGCCTCGTCTTATCATATCTTGTTATGCAGTGTTTGGTTGATAGCCTTAGAAGGCCTGTTCTTTTCTAAGAAAGGGGGGTTCTCGGGGAGAGAGCTGGTGAATGACAGGGAGGAGTAGATGGAGGGAAAATGGAGGTGGGGATATATTGAAAATATAACAAAAAACTATTACATGCTTAATGAGCTTGCCAGTCATTTTTATTTGTTCTCTATGCTGGTATGCCTTTCTGTTCAACTGTGTTGGCTATTTTTATGTCAGCTTGATACACTCAAGAGTTATCTGAAGGGAGGGAACCTCTATTGAGAAAATGGGCTCCATAAAATTTGGATGTACGGCATTTTCCTAATTAATAATTGATGGGGAGACCATTGTGCGTGATACCATCTCTGGGCTAGTAGTCCTGGGATCTATAAGAAATCAGGCTGAATAAGCCATGATGAGCAAGTCAGTAAACAGCACTCCTCCATGGCCTCTGCCTCAGTTCCTGCCTCCGTGTTCCTGCTCTGTTTGAGTTTCTGTCCTGACTTCCTTTAATGATGAACAGTGATATGGAAGTATAAAATCAAATAAACCGTTTTCTCTCCACCTCCAAAAACTGGCTTCCATCCTTAAGATGGCGTCAGGCTGCTACATCAGTATCTTATGTTTCCTCTTCATGTTCTTTATCCTGGGGAGAGACATCACTCTTTCTCATCAATGGCTTCTCATTCAGGCTGATTTCTCATTGCACATAGG